GTCTCTTTCTTCGTTTAGCGCACTACTTTGCGTTAGAGAAACTTCTGACTGTATAGCACAGGCTGTACCGTTTGAGGTATTTTGTATTTCTGATGTAATTTGTTCTGTCTTCTTAATTAGAACCGTTTATATTCAGCACATAGTTTGTGTTCTGATATTATATAATACAAGTATCTCAAAGACGCGTTGTGAGCTATACAGAGGAACTTGGTCTGGTCTAATCGAATAAATTTTGGGTTCGTCAGTCCGTTGTTCCAACCGAATATTGGTGGTTCGGTCGTTACAATATCTCTGTCTTCGGTTTGATATCTGGATGATTTTGCACCGGAAACCTAAGAAACTGAAAGTTTATTTTGTAATTGTTATATTTATCATGAGATCGATAGTTGGGTCGATTATTTCTAATTTGCGAATAAACTTTGGTGCCTGGATTAGAGTTTGGTTCTATTGTTATCTAGAGTCATAAGTTACAAATAGTAGCAAAAGCTTTGACACAACACATAGCCTTATTCAGATTCCTACTCTCAGTAGAACTAGTAAGCCAAATCTAGCTAGGATAAAAGGGTTGTCCTAAACTATACGTAATGCAGCCTTCAGGGTGAGTAAATGACACAAAAATGATAAGTGCATTGCATGCTCATCGCTTATCAAATCGCCTGACAGCATTTGAACGTAGTTTATATAGTTCTTGGGTTCGTTGTCACTGTGATGTCGCAGTAACTAGACAATATTGCGTGTTCATGCTAGGTCACCCTTGTTTGTAGTTCTATTATGTTTGTCCACGGCGTAGAAAAAACAGATGGGACTAAAAAGTGAGAACTACAAGACCCCATTGTAAGTAAACATATCAATCCGTAAAAGTATAACCAAACTGTCAAACATACACTCAACTAAACACACAAATTCGAGAGCCACAGCCCGAGCTCATACACAAAACTTCCAGTATCTGTTAACATTATGGAGTAGCGAGTAGGCATTGTGAGGGGAAACTGATACAGAATTATGTTCAGAACTAGGCACTGGGGTACTAGAATAGAGTAACATAGGCTACATTTAAATTACACCAGCTTTGGAACAAAAAAGTATGGTAGTGAACCATACATAAAGCGGAAGATTATCGTTTGCAGAATAAACTAGAAAAATCATTAAATGTTAGTGTTTTACAAGCCTTGACTTAAGTGAAATAACGTTTCCAAAAATAGCTTTCGTCATTTATCATGGCTACGTTATTTCTCTGTTCACATCAGGATGCAAAGATATTAAACAAAACTCCTTGATTTTATTTAGTGTTCCAATGTTGGTTAGTGACCTACTAGAAGGCAGGGAATTCTTTGGTATGCCAACCGCAGAAGTGTCAAAACTTAGGGAAACGTAAAAACCTCCCATTAAAAAAGCTCTAGACTCAGTATATGTTACAAAAGAAACACTACTGACATCTCAAAGACCATTGGCTAAACGATCCTCTCAGATCCACATTACAAACGACAATTCATGGGCCACGAGAGTTGCTTCTAGAAGGTCAGAAAACACTCCATCCCCACATCTCAGGAAGCAGGATACGGCCCCTACAGTGCGGTTCTATAGTTGGCTTGGTGCAGACATTAAAATTTCAGGGATGACTGGATATGTCGCTTGCGCCATGAGATGGGATGAGGACAGAAAATCTACAGACTTTAATTACTTGTGAACAACTGATCAGCTTCTAGTTGAGAATGTCATTGTTCACCCACCTGTAATAAGTAGTGGACATGGTACTGTCATATATAACCTGATCACTAGCGAGATATAGCAGTAGGTCGAGGACACTCTTAACCCTAGCCACATCAAAACAGGTCACGCTACCATGAGCGAGCATCTCCAAAATGTCACATAACGATGATAGTGGTGGATACAAACAGTGGATGACTGCCAGAAGATAGTGAGAGATATCGTTCGAAATTCCACTCTAAACAACGTACTTCAAGAGAGGTGCACACTTGGATATGAAAGATTTTGGGTTAGGAGAGTCAGACAACATTTATTGCAACCAAAAAGGGAACCCTGATACGAGTGGAAAGTTTCCCTGAAGGATTCTGACTGTAACTGTTATTAGGCGTTGAGAAACAGATGTAACGCCAAAGTCTGTAAGGTTAGATGGTGTCTTCATGTCGATCCAGCAGCCAAAATGAGAGCTAACCCCAAACATCTCCGCAGATTCATGACGATGAGAAAGTCCACAAACCAACCGATCGGTACTTTTAAGGAACCAAGTGGAGAAATCTTACTAACTTAGAGATAGTGAATACTTTTAATGCTAACTTTGTGGAAGGAAGGTACTCTCACTCCAATCTTCAAACGGAGAGAGACAAAACCCAGCCTGTGAGAGACCAGTCTCATTACTCCTAATACTGTCGAAGGTAATGGAAGAACGAAAATATAAGAGAATGTTTGGATAAAGGCATTATCGTTCACGAAGCTCGACAGGAGTTCAGGAAAGGCAGGTCATGTGCATCCAATCTCCTCATAGTATGGGGAAGCTGAACGACCTGCTGGGATCACATGGTACTGGCTCATGTAATATCCCTCTATTTCGCAAAACCCTATGACACCATATCCCATGTACTTCTCGTAGAAAAAGTTGAAAAGATGGGTTTCACTTACCCACTCTTATCCTGGCTCCGAAACTACGCAGAGATCTGCATGCTTCGTACCAAGTTAAATAAAGTGTTCGCTAGCTATAACGTTTTAATATTAGGAGTTTCACATGGAACATTCTTGGGTTCTCTCGTTTTCCTGATCTTCATGAACTATCTGTTAGATAAAATTAGCTTGACTGCACCAATCTATAGGGAATATACAAAGATCTGGTGGTTTATGAAAAACGTAAGGGATTAACTTGAGCTTCAAAAAAGGCCTCAGAGAAAGGGAGGAATGAGCAGTAGACAACAGGTTAAAATTTAACATGTCAAGAAGTCGTTATACTAACACTCTGCCTCATTTGATACAAACCACTAACGTCCTTCATAGAGATCTGCTCTCATTGTTCCCTCATAGGGTGAGTTCGGGCTTGTAATCACATAGAAGCAGGTCACCAGAGCTAATTACAGAGGGTATGCAGCCAAAGCAATCACAATATTTCCCTTTATGTGAAGACGACTTAGCAAAACCATCTCAAAGTTGTTGCCAGAATTGTTTAAAACGTTTCCGTGGCACAACCTTGAAATCCACAAAAGAGACACAAATCTCCTACATCAGGTACAAAGACGAGCAGCCGATTGGGCAATAAGCCTAAAACATGAATTTTACAAGGACAAACTCCTACACTTGGGGTTGTTCTCGCTGAGCTACTGGAGCGTAAGGGGTGATCTGATAATGACAGACAACATATCAGTTTTGCTAAACCACTCCAATTCGTACATACTATCAGAACATAGTCACCGCGGTTCTGAGGCAACCCTCAAAAGGTTGGACACCAAAGAGCGAACACCCAACTACTCTCTCACTTTTTCTTTTTACGAAATGTCATCGTTTGGAAAGCGTTCCTGCCTAAATGCCACAACTCCTTTAGTGTATAGTGTTAGCGGAAACTTTACAAACACGTACTCACTCATGGATTACCATCTCTCTCAGTGCAACTGTGTCTGATTCGTGTCTCATAAATTACTGCGGTTATCATTACCACATATCGACAACTATTTCTTGACTTTTTTATTATTATCTCCATTACCTTCTTGGCATTTTGATTCTGTCTTCTTAATGATTACCAATTAGATAAATTACTTATTTTTAGTTTATTGAAATGATCGTCTTTACTTAGCACTTGAATTATCACTTTATTTTCGCATTGCGACCAACCAGCCAACTCCTTGCTCTGCAATAAAATAACTATGGTATCCAGTAACCCTACTATCCTGAGATCAAAGCACTCATTCAACTATAAACACATGAATCGATATATAACTGCTACACTGACTAGAATTAGTTCAGTCGAGTGTCTAAACTACCACCCATGAAACATTACCGAGTACCTGAAATCGTACCGAAAAAACAAGAAGCGAGCGCAAATAAATCTGTTGGTTTATACAAGCTTGTGACAAAGTAATTGGAATTTGGATATTGATTACGTAAATTATCTAATCCAAGTATAGTCTGATTTATTACTTTTCTCTAATGATGTGAAACTCTGGAGAGAAATTTCCAAATAAGATGATAAGCTGACACTTCAGGAAGATCTGACTCGACTTCAAAGTTGTGCTGATAAAAACGGTCTTAATTTCAACACTTCATGGTGTAAAGCAGTCCATATGAGATATGTTGCAGACTACGCTTACATCTTAAGAATCCCAAGATGAAAAAGAGCTAGGAGTCTGGGTATCATATGATTTAAATTCTTACGTTAACTGCGATAAAAAATACCACTTGACCAAAACTTGCATTGGTGACGCTGAACGTCATTTCTGGCCGGTTCGACCGTAGAAAGTTCCATTCAATCTTCAGAAGTTTGATTGGATCCCATTTAGACTATGGATATTTACTTTTTCCTCCATTAGTCCAATGGGATAACAATACAGTGAGACCAGGGACTCAAAGTCAAACCTTATGAAAAGCGCCTCAGGTCAATGGAATTTTATTCGTTAGGGTGTAGGCATCTGAGAAGTGACCTATTGAATTTTAGCACTCCAAACACTCCTCGACACCCTCTTAAACACCCACTTAAGCTCATTCTCTTCATAAACCTTGGGATAAAACTGAGTAATTAAAGACACGACATAGCAGGATAAGCTGCAGGTACACCTTTTACTCTTCTTAAGTTGTCGAAATCCAAAATTAGCTGCCACCTGAGGTGGTTCACAGGAGTCCTTTAAGAGAAAACCTGTCATATTCTTACAGACTAAAGACAGTATCTCATTAAAATTTACCAATGGTTTTCTTTTTTATTGTTATATATACTAAATACAGAATCCTGTTAGGCGAAAGCTTTATCCGTTCCGTCTAGAATCAAATGAACAATTTGACCATTTGTACTATTCGATCCATTAAAAAGGCGGGCAACTTGGTTTTCCTCAGACCTGATATAGAATGGTCAGTTTGTAATTCCCTTAAGGGTTTTTTTGTTTCTAAAACTATTTACATAGTATTAATCTTAAGTTTTATTGTAGAATTCTGGCGCAAAATGTCACTCATCATGTCTTGTTGCTTACAATGAATTGAAAATGATGAAAAAACATCGTTATATTTTGTTTCACATCGACGAAGGGGAAGTCCGCATTCTGAAAGAAGCTGAGAGAGGTTAGTATTAAGGTATAACATTTCTTAACCTCTACCATTAGCGGCAACGTACCAAGATTTCAGAGACGATATGATTGATGCGATGAAATCGGAACAGGGTCGGTACGTTGTATATGACTATGAATATCCCAATAAATCTGCAGAACTGTTTTTTATTATGTGGTACGTTGTTTGTTTTTTGTCTATACGATTTTAGGACCCCGAGAAACTTAAGCCCTTGGAAAAATATGGTGTATGCGTCCTCAAAGTGTGCTGTAAAGTCTCAGTTCCAAGGGATCAAATATTTCTTGGAAGCACATGACCTAGAAGATATTAGTGAAGAGCGTTTTATTGAGGTGGGGAAACAGAATAGGTTGTGCTAGGTTAATGGAATTTTAATCTGGATCATTTGTACGGACCGCATCCCCTAACTGGATTTTATTTGTTTTTTTTTCTAATTATGCAACTCATTCAATGTATTTGATTTTCAGTTTTGGCTCACACTTTGTATTTCCATAGTCTCTGACCAGACTGTTATGTGAACGATCTATTAAGTGTTTCATCTTCAATCACTTGTCAATAAAACTTTGGAAGGTGTATTTTTATAGTCAGTCAGTCAGCTACAACGTAGGACCAGGCACATATGTGCATTGGTCCAGGTTGCCATACCGCATCAACACAACAAGATGAACACCAGATTTATAACAGTGGTTAGGTAAAAAGTGGTAATATATAAGAGAAAGATTGCATATAGAGATATAGTACAAGAAGAAAGAGTTGGTTAGTAGAAAGAAAGATATGAAGCGATTTTAATCTCATAGTTTAAGGGAAGATAAGTGAAGTTGTCAACGCGTTCGACTACTTCACTCCCTATCCTTAGTTCAGGTGTTGACGCAGACCAGTCCTGAAGTAACAACTTGCATTTAGAGGGAGAGAAGCGCATTCCAAACATCCTGGCATTGTTGCTCAGTGCTACCAGAAGACTGCATTTTATCAGCGTCTTCACCAAACAGTACTATGTCATCTGCGTATTCTAAGTCCATAAGTGGACCTCCTGGAAGGAGATCAATACCCGAGAACTCAGTCGACGAGAAAGTTATTTCCATCAGTAGATCTATGATGAAGTTAAACAAAAATGGGGAGAGTGGACAGCCTTGACGGACACCACTTGAGGTTGCAAAACTAGATGACAGTTCGCCATAAGCTCTCACTCAACTAGTAGTGTTCGAGTAAAGAGCCTTTACAAGGTTTATGTACTTCTGGGGTACGCTTTTCAATGACAGACACTGCCACAGAATCTCGCGGTCTACCGAGTCAAATGCTGCTTTTAAGTCAAGAAAGACCACCATCGTCGGACGCCGATAAGTATGCCTATGTTCTAGAACCTGACGAATGGTGAATATGTGGTCGATGCAGCCATGACCAGGTCTGAAGCCAGCTTGGTTTTCTCGTGTTTGCAGTTCACGAGTTTTAGTTAGGCGTCTGATTATTATTGAGGCTAGTATTTTAGATATTATATTAGTTAAACTAATCCCTCTATGGTTGTCACAGGATGATTTTGACCCTTTCTTATATATTGGGACGATAAGTGATTGTGACCAGTCAGATGGAATAACGTCTAACCACCAGATCTTAGCTAAAATATTAGTCAACCTAACCGCTTAAGTTGGACCACCATCCTTAAAGACTTCTGGAGCCAGTCCATCTGGACCAGCAGCCCTTCCTCGTTTCAGATTATCTATAGCCTTTTGAACTTCAGCAAGAGTTGGGGGACCTACTTCAATGTTCCATTCACGCTGTCTGGGAATAGAGGGTAGTTGTAGAGTAGCTGAAGGCCAGTTGAACTGTTCTTTAAAATGTTTTGCCCATCGTTCTAAACGTCTGAACTGGGAGTAGATGAGAGTATCGTCTTTTTCCGAAATAACCTCACTTACACTTGACTTATTAATTCCAGTTTCTTTTATTAGTCTGTAAAGCTATCTTGTGTTCCCTATAGTCGCCGCCTTTTCCATCTCTTTTGCTTTCGTTCCCCACCACTGCTCACGGTCGTTTCTTAGACTTTTTCTTAACCTAGATCTGATTTGTTGTCGCTCTTCATCATGTTCGGAACCTTATGGGACGAGTTTGCGAGAATCCATCAGTGTGATAGACTTTGAAGAAATCCACTAGTCCTTTGAAACTCTGTGGTTTAAGTCGCTAATAGATGTCACTGCTGCTTCCACAGCTGCTTGTATGTCTTTCCAAGCAACATCTGAGTCAGCCTCGTCTTCAGAACTACCTAAGTGTGAACTCAGTTGTTCTTGGAACCTATTTTTGGTTTTCTCGTTACTCAATTCAGTTCTAATGGGTCTTTTTAATGTGGCTTCTTTGCGTCCGGTGAGGCGCAAGCAGATGCGTGCCCGTATTAGGGCGTGGTCGGAGTCCAAGCAGGTACTCCAGAATGAGCGATAATCTTCTACCGACCCTCTCCAACGATGACTGATGGCAATATGGTCTATTTGTGTCCATCGTTGGTTTGGTTTAGGGGGTCGCCATGTTAGACGATGTCTCTCCTTATGCTTAAAATTTGTGTTTGCTAAAAATAAGCGATTGTCTGAGCGCAGTTGCAGCAGACGATCACCATTATCTGTTCGCTGTGCCGGAATGCTAAAATATCCACCTAAATGCCTTTCTGTTTGGTTTAAGCTACCTATCTGAGCATTAAAGTCACCTGCTACGAGTACTATGTCTGGGCGTTTAGCTTTCTGAAGAAGTTCAGAAAGCTTTCTGTAAAATTCATCCTTCACTTCATCTGAGCTGCAGTCAGTGGGAGCGTAGGCAGAAACGATAAAAAGGCAACGACGTGTGTCCCTATCCTTCCGAGTTCTTACGGAGCCATCATAAAAATAGTTATTCATTCTGAAGTTTAACTGTCACACTAAATGTAAAATTAGATGAGAGTTCAGTCTTTATTGTTGACATATGGGTTATTAATCTTGAAGAATCGTCATGTGACAGGCTTGAAGCCTATTTCAAGTTCCTTTGTGTTGTTTCGTGTCTCAAGTCACATATTATTACTCACGACTTGATGTGAATCATCGGAAAGCTTAAAGAATTAGAACTTAGAAGTACAATTAACTTTTCTTTATCCCAATATTAGGCATCCGCCGTGTAAAATTGTTAATACAACATTCGTAGTGAGTATTTTATCCGAGCTGTTACTGATGGGTAAATGCATTTTAGTTCTGATTAAACGTTATGCTCTTGTGACGTAGCTAAGTTGAAGTTATGCGAATTAAGTGCTATAATTCCATCGACTATCATCAACTACATTAGTCCATGGAAGGCGGATTTGACAATAAGCTAGAAGCTCAACCAAAAATGGTTTATGATATCATGGACTTTCAATGTTTATGAGAGATTTTACCTGTAATAACATTATGGTTAGAAGATCCCAAAATCAGTCAAACGATAGGTCAGGAATGAAGGAGTTTGAAGATACTTTTGATGGGTATTCGACACGTCGCGATGTATTCAAAGTTGGCTTGTTGTTGCAAGAAATGCAAAGCACGGCATATTCACTTATGATTTGGGGCAGTAGAGTGACTGAATGCATAAAGCTAAATCGTATCCGGTAGCATGAACGAGAGAGATGTGAAAACTAACAGATATGAACACCAGTCTAAATTACTACATCGTATATCACAAAAGAAATTAACTTCAATCATTCTTTGTCTTCCCTGTTTCTCGTGTTAGCCTATACATCATAAGAGTGCTCAGGTTAACACACACTTGTTGAGCATTGTTAGTTATCAATCATTTGTTGATTAGGTCTATGCCTCTGGTCGTTCATTCATTTCCAAGTTTCTTAACATCCTGAGTCAACGCCCGACATTCACTCTATCTCTAGATTGACAGTAAAAACTTTAAATTGTACGATGTCACAGTCGGACATTTTGTTGGTCGTCTTTTAATTTCATGATGTAAACTTAAGTAAGGAGATTACAAATATATTCTTTTTTTTAAGGAGATTACTTTGTTTGATATTTTAGCGACGGTAGCGCATGCATTTCAATCGTGTACAATGTTCTCTTAAGTAGCCATAAATACCCCATCAGAAATTTGTCAACTAATTAGTTGAATGTCATGAGAACTCATCATATTTTCTCATTGAAATCTCAGAGATATAGACAGTTGTCTCGTTGTACATTTTTTTGTAGCTGTAAAATATAGTATAAAAATTTATGCACACGCACTAATGAACACTTCGAGATCAACCTACTCACATACGTTGTACGACTAATGGTTGAGCTGTATGCGTGCAGTGTAAATCATTAACCAAACAGACATTCGGGAAATCAACTCTGAACCACTTTTAAATGGAGGAATTTTACCAACCAAGAATTCAAAATGAGTCAATATTGATATTCTTGGTTCTATTAAGGGCTAGTTGATCATACAAAGTCGATGTTTTAGCTAAATGACAATAGATTATTGACAAAAGTAAAACCCACTGAGTCTGTAAAAGAAGCAATCATATATGTATATATCTATTTATGCCTAAGTATAATCATTACCAAAGAGTATTGATTCAACACACAAACCATCATAATATTCATATTGCTAACTGAATTTTTATCAAATAATCACCTGCTGATACAAAAAGAATACTCTAGTAGTATTTAATGGGAAATCTGAACATCGGCACAGTCAGAAAGATGTGTGTTCATATACCGTTTGTTTTAAATTTATTCAACAAACCACAAACAAAAACACTTACATAACACATATTTTCTGGTTCTTATTGTTTTACTAACGTGAATTAACTATATGTGCTGCTTTCCTCATTGTTACCACTTGTAGACATTCAGGATTTGCTGCAAGGTGATCTGAGCTGACAACTTTGTGGCGGGAGGACATGTTACTTTTAAGTCGATCGGTCGTTATTAACATAAAACCTTGTACACATATGTATCAGTCTAAATTACCACACCGGATATCATAACAAGAAATTCAGATGAAAAGCATAGTATATGTAAGAATGTTGAAATCGATGGAAATTGAAGCATGGAAAATAGTTTGTAAGGAAGAATTAATGTCGAAGAATAAAGAGTTAGGAATTATAACTAAATTTGAAAGAGCGATAGGAAGTAAAATAAACTGTGACCGTATTTTTTATTAAGTTATTGCTTGTGTACCTCTTTAACTCTGTAGGACAAATAAATACTTAAATGTAGTAAGTCTTGTTGATGTTATACGTTTCAGTTTATTGACTTGTCGTAGAAATAGCTGAATTCGAATAATACACTTCATGAAATCAATTACACTTTCTTCGTAATCTTAATTAGGAAGTTATATCAGTTGTATGAATTTGTGTGCTCTTCTAGACAGTTTTCAAATACCTGATTTTGACAACAATGAAAATTTATCAAGATTAATCAGTCGGTCAAAACTAATGTACCGCTTGGTGTAAAGATTCATTGGCACAGATATCTTCATCGTTTGTCCTTGTAACTTGTTTGTTTGCTACTCGTCCAGTAAAGTGTGAAATAAACAAGTTGTCCCGGACCGGAATTTGTATGCATATTTGTTAGTTAACTTTGTTGATCACTTGATTATT